AGGGGTAAAAAATGGAAGGAAGGGAAGGAAGGGGAGGAAGACTGATTGTCTGGGGAAAGTTATATCAATCCGCGCAAGTTCTTCGCAGCCAATCAGATCACAGTGTGAGGGGATTAATGCCTCTCTACACACTATCGTATAGTGACTTCGAAGGCTCTGAGAAAGGATGAATAGGGAGTTCCTGTACGAAGACGGAGGCTGGAAAGGAGAGGGGGCGAAGAGCAGTGCGGAGTGGGACTAGGATTCAGATGAAGAGAGGCAGAAAGAAAGTGCGAAGGAAAATAGGATGGAAAACAGTTACGGATTGAAGGAAGGAGGCGCAAAGGAAAAGGGTAGAGATGGCTTGGGATACAGCGGAAGGCGGGGGAAGCTTGCAAGCATGGCGCTGGTGCGGAAACAAAAGGGCACTGAAACAGTTACATTCCGTCCAAAATAATATATGAAGTTCCCTCTTATTCTTCTTCCAAATAATAATATTAACAATCAGTGGATGAACCAGAATCAATATCCGAAGTTCCCTCTTACTACTAGCACAACAATAGGTCCAACATAGCCATGGCTTCCCCCTTCGTCCTCCTCTCACATGCCAAGGCTATGGCGGACTGCTAGGGGCTTTGCCCTCTTGTGCAAAGGACAACACAAAGCAGCTATGTCGCTGCTCAGCAGGCCGCCATGCCTGACTCTGCCTCGAGCTTCCTTGATGCGGCACTACCCCAACTGGGCCTTCCAGATGCAGCGCCTGTCAAGGTGATGAAGATGGTGTCCACCATAGCCAGGTAGGTACCTCACCACTCTCCTCCTTCGCCCCCTTCTTCCTCCTCCTCAGGCTGGGCTGCACGCGATAGCCAGGCTGAGCGCCCAGCTCCTTCGTCAACCTCCCAGGCAGCGCTCCAAGTCCAGCGCTTGGCTCCAGCAGTATTTTGCCAATCCTTGCACACCGCAAATGAGGAGGAGCTACTTGCCCCTCCCAAAGATATAGCGGCCTACTTGCCTCTTGGGCGGTGACTTCCTAGGCCGCACGACTGATATCCTCCGTACAGGGCCTAGACTCAGGCTACTTACCGGCCTACCTCTAGCTTACCACTACTGGGCCTCTAAAAATGCGGACTTTTTGTCTGCTTCTGCTCAGCCTTGAGTACCCGACACTTCTGCCACTACTTGAGTGGTACCAGCCTCCCTGCTACTTGAGTGTTTTTCCCCCGCTCCAAGTGCCGCGGGCCTACCTCTGCTACTTGAGTGTTTTTCCCGCTACAACCCTCAAAGTCACGGCCACGGGTAAGTACCGGCTCTGCGGTGCCTCCAAACCAACAAGTACCCTTGCGAGTCACACACACACTCAGGCCGACAAGCACTCAGACAGGCACGCAGAGCAGCAGGCACGCACACACACAAACTTAGAAATCACAGCAGAATGCGGGCATCTCAGCAAGGCATGCATTCCAATGGCAAATCCCAGAAATCAGCAGTGTTCTCAGTCTGTGTTTTGGCTGGTCATTACAAATTGATTGGTTGATTGATTGATTGATTGATTGATGACTGATTGATTGGTGGGGGAGGGGTCGCCCCCTCCTCCCCTCTCCCCCGTCCGCGGCACACGCACACACACACACACACACACACACACACACACACACACACACACACACACACAAGCGCAACAGCCTCTGGAGAGCAACCCGGCTGAACACCCACCCCCTTCTCCTGCACATGGCCAAGTGGTGTCACCTCCCTGTGTAGACCGAATGGATTCTCCTTCTGGGAATTACCAGACTTTTCCTGAGGACGGTGGCTGTGCCCTCCCATTGTGTAGTCACACAGCCACAACTCGGTTGGCATGCACACTGCACAGTCTCTGCTCCAAACACTATGAAGGGATGGTCACTGCTAGCCTCTGTCATGGAAACTGCGACTTTGTGTCTTGTATTCATCCCCCCCACCCCGTAATTGCTTGCCCAATATGCCGTCGGGGCCTTGACTTGCGATGTTTAAATAGCTGCACACGTCAACCAGCATTCCTACTGCCATGTCAGCAACATGCCATGTGTTGTCAATGTTACCAGGAAGCTATCATCGAAAGTTTGTCTCTACTGTGTGGACTATCCCCGCGGCCATCATCCGCCACATCCTCTTTCAGCATGTCCCGCATGCCGATTTGGGCACGCCCCTACTGCAACTCCAGTCAGACTTCCCTCTTCCTTGCCCGACGAACGGCAAACCCAGCAGCCTGAGGATGAAAATAGAGTCCCATGTGAACTGCATGCAGTGCATGGTACAGGAGGGCTTACACCACCAGGGCGAACTGTTGCGGACCAAATCCTGCAGCAGCTCGATGCCCTTATTTTGGCTGACCCCTCCCACCACCGCCGTCATTATCTGCCCATAGAGAAGGACTCGATAATGAGGGAACCCAAAACGCCTGCTGAATGCCGCTCTGTGATGATCCACCTGAGATCTGGTTAGCATGTGGATTGCATACGGGGACCAAACACGATCGTACCAACGGAAGTAAAGCGTCCTTTCCAGCGAGTCAGTATGGACACGATAGATATTGACGTGCCGCCTGGCCCAAACCGCTGTGAATATTCTATCCTGTTGGTTTTAATTGACCATTTTTCCAAATACATCGAAGTCTATCCCTGTAAGACCCGAAAGGCCGCAGAAATAGCCACGTACATCGAAGGATTCCTCTACACCCATCTAGATATAAAAGAAATTCTAACTGACAATGGGTCGGAATTCAAAGGCGAGGTAGAAGAACTGCTTGCGCGAAGGGGCGTCTCGCTCCGACATACGGCACCCCACGTGTCCCAGTCGAACGGGTTGGCCGAGAATGCCAACCGTATGATTAAAACCGCCCTTCGCAGGAACTTAGCGGCACACGACACGCGTTCGTGGCCCGAGATCGTATATCAGGTCGTCGGCATCCACCGGGCCACCCCTCACGAGTCTACGGGGTTCACCCCTTTTCAGCTTCGAACTAATAGCCTCCCCTGAGGATGCAGCCTGCCTAAACAGGTGGTCTTCGGACCTTTTCACCACTTCAAGACTCCCTTCACCACTTAAGGATGCTACTTGCCTAAACAGATGGTTTTCAGGGTCTTCGGACCTTTCACCACTCCAAGACCATTCAGGATTTTCAAACTGCCCAAAACTCTCACTTCACCACTTCAGGATGCAGCCTGCCTAAATAGGTGGTTTTCAGGGTCTTCGGACCTTTCATCACTTCAGGACCATTCAGGATTTTCAGACTGCCCAAAACTCTCACTTCAGAATTTTCATTCCCGAATTTTCAGCTACCCGTTAACCGCTTGTCACAAGTATCAGTCAGCACCTCGCACAAGATAAAAAAAAAAGACACACAACTTCCAAACCAAACAAAGATGGAAAAGTAGGCCAAAACAAATGTTTCCCAGTACCGGTGCTTGGGGCATCTTTTGGCCTAGATGCAGCCACAACAGTGACAGGGCATTCTATTCGGGTGAAGACGGTAGCAGAACAACAAAGACAATCAGACTGAACTCAAGGGATTCACCAACCAAAGTAGAAAAACGAAGTGTGAAGGAGAACAACAAGAATGGCTCGGTGAGAACCAATGTGGAAAATGGTTAGCAGTTAAGTAGTGTATTGCCCTTAGCGACTCCCTGGGGGCCTCCATCTCCAGTCGTAGGCCAATCCTGATTGCGACCCTGTGTTACCTGACGGGCGCATTGTCGTGGATAGGTGGGCAGGGTACTAGTGGTTTAGTGGCAGCGTGAATGCTAGACTGTTGAAGTGACAAAAAAAGTCCTAGTGTGAGGTCAGATACATCCTAGCGTGAATGTTAGACTCTTGAAGTGACAAAACCTGGTTGTTAATGGGGTCGGATACATCTTGGGAAGTCCTAGCGTGAGGTCAGATACATCCTGGGAAGTCCTAGCGTGAAAGCTAGACTGTTGAACAAACAAAACAAATGACAGGAAATTTTGTTTTTCACAGATGGTAACAACATGAAGCACCTGAACAACCAGCCCCCTTGCTTGAAAAGGGGCTGGCTGTTCAGCCATTTCTGTGGTATTAACACTCAAAACATGAAACCGAACCTCGACAAGTTTCGAGTGCTAGGACCACCACTCTTCTCAAGCCTAATCTGTCGAGCCCTCGGTGTGCCCGATCCCACAAGCTGAACTAATGAAGGATTGGCCATGTTGGAGCAGGGACTATGGTTGGGCCGATAACCCAAACTTTCTTACACAGTGCTTGTTGGACCAGGTTCAAAGTTTGAGGTCTATGGGGAAGCAACAAATCCATCAGAAGATCGTACACACCCCCTGGGAGGCATTCAAGGCAGACCAACCCCAAGATTTCTTCACAAGAACCTAGCTGTTAATCGAGTCAGATACATCATGGGAAGTCCTAGTGTGAGTATGTTCTGAGAGATTTGTTCCAAGACCAAAGACATCCACAATTCCTTAGGGGCATACCCAGACAAAGGCCTTTTCTAGATGCACTTGACCACAATTGTCGCCAGATGCCCTCTACCAAGTCCCAGTGTGAGTTATGCCCTTGGTCATACTAGAAACACATAAACGATCTACTGGTAGTCAAACCCTTGCTACGGCACACGACATCCTCCAGCCGTAGGTGTTTGTACTTTATCTATCTATACAACTTGTATGGAAGGGTGTTTGCACCTTATCTATGCATACAACTAGTCCTTCCGTATGCCTGCTGAAGGATGATTAATTTCTTATGCTTCCGCACCAATTGGCAGCAACCTGGTTCATCGAGTCATATTGTTCAGGCCACCTCTTTTCACCGACGCAGATGTGTGTTGCATGCACGCCAATAGAACACGAACCAGGGTTGGGTCAGCAACCGGCCGGTTGAACTGGCCCGGTCCAACCAACAAAACGGATGACCCAAAAAAATGGCCAATTTTTTTTATTTTTTATTTTTATTTTTTTTGCGGGATCCAACTGCGCTTGCCGAGATCTGTTGGATTCCGCAATAAAACTTTGAATGTTGGAAACTTTTTTGGGGGGCGTGTTGAGGGGGGAATGAAAAAAATAAATAAATTTAATGGCTATGGCTAATGGAGGAGGAGGAGGAGAAGAGGAGGAGGAGGAGGAGGAGGGAGAAGAAGAAGAAGATGACCAAGGAGGAGAAGAACAAGAGGAGGAAGAGGAGGAAGAGGAGGAAGAAGAAAATGACGAAGAAGAGGGGAGAGAAGAAGAGGAGGAGGAGGAGGGAGAAGAAGAAGAACGCAAGGGAGTTGAAGGCTTGAAGCAACAACGGAAAAAGAAAAAAAAAATTAACGGCTATGGCTAACGGAGGAGGAGGAGGAGGGAGAAGAAGAAGAAGATGAAAAATAAGAGGGAGGAGAAGAACAAGAGGAGGAGGGGGAGGAGGAAGAAGAAAATGACGAAGAAGAGGGGAGAGAAGAAGAGGAGGAGGAGGAGGAGGGAGAAGAAAAAGAAGAACGCAAGGGAGTTGAAGGCTTGAAGCAGCAACGAAAAAAAAAAAAAAAAAAAAACCTAACGGCTATGACTAACGGAGGAGGAGAAGAAGAGGAGGAGGAGGAAGCGGGAGAAGAAGAAAGAAGAAGAAGATGAAGAAGAAGACAGAGGAGAAGAAGAAGAGGAGGAGGAGGAGGAAGAAGAAAATGACGAAGAAGAAGAAGAAGAAGAAGATGATGAAGAAGAGGGAGGAGAAGAAGACGAGGAAGAGGAGGAGGGGGAGGAGGAGGAGGAGGAGGAAGAAGAAGAAGAAGAAGAACGCAAGCCGATGGCTAAGAGAGGAGGAGTAGGAGAGGAGGAGGAGGAGGAGGTAGAAGAAGAAGAAGAAGAAAAAGTGGAGGACGACTTATGGCTAACGGGCGAGGAGAGTGACCACGGAGAAGAAGAAGAAGAAGAAGAAGCAACAAACCTGGGGGAGTGATGGAGTGGCTCGCCGGCGGGGGGCGTGATGGCGCGGCTGGGTGGCAGAGGTGACGATGGCAATGATGCACCCCGCGGAGACCTACCTACGATGGCGCGGCTGCACGGAGTGATGGCGCGGCTGGCTGGCGACAATGGCGCGGCTAGCTGTCCAAGGCGACGACGAAGCGGCTGCACAGACTGAAGGTGAGTGGGGTTGAACGCGCGATGCGTTTTCCCCCGCTGCGCAATTCGGTTTCCCGCAAGAAGTGATTCAAAACAGTGGCTGATCTTTGTCGCCGATCATCGACAAGCGGGGGCCAAGCTTGGCCACTTCTTGAACTTCGAAAAATGGGGCCTGCAGGACCCGGTTTCGTAATTGTGGGGCAGGGCCCGCCCCCACGAGGCCTCCGCAACACAATCGCGCCGCCAATTTTTTTTTTTTCAAGCCCCGGCGAAAATGCGCTAGGAGCGACCGGGAGGGAACCGGCCCAGGCCACCGGCCAGTCCAACCGGGCGGACCGCGGATGGGGTAGGGGTCCCCGGATGCCCTGAAACGAACCCGTGCGGGTGCGTTTTTTCCTTTTTTCCCTGGTGGCACCAGCCATTTTGGTCCGGCAGGTCGAGCCCCGAAGGACAAGGAGCGATAACAACCATGTTGGAACAAAATGGCTGGGAAAAGTACTAGTGGTTTAAACCGCCACCAAGCAGGTGGTCTCCTTTTCCCCAGAAAGTACACACTGGAGTAGACCTGGATTTCACCCTCTCGCGCTGCAAGAAACTTGTACAGTGGTACATTACCTAGCCTTGTTAGGCTTGGATCGTCAGGTACAGATGTCGAGGCAGTTAAGACGACCAGGTCTTTCGAGCCCCGTTTTCCCAACTTGGATTCTGCTGCCACGCCAACGAAAAATGAACAGGGACTGGTGGAGTTTTTTTTGTTGCCTTGCACCACCAGCCATCTCGGTCCAGTAGGCTAAGCACCAAAGGTCGTGGCGTGTTTCTGTCTGCTTTGGAACAAAATGGTTGGGAAAAGTACTGGTGGTTTCATCTTTGTACAACTATGTGGAGCTAATCATCAGTAGAACAAATAAAGTTGGCCATAAAAAAGTCAGTGAAAGAAAACATCGAAAGACCGAGATCGTGTTCCCAAGGAGGGACAACCACCTAGGAACTTCAGAAGTTTCACAACTTCATGTAGATCTGGCAGTCTGTAAATGTATAGGCTCTTGTTTGACACACGTGGAAAACCCCCTGACAACAGGGCATGTGTCTTTCTTTTTTTTTCTTTTTATTCCCTTCAAAGGTCCATGTCGTAGTAGAGGGTGGATGCTAGGCCTCGGGAGCTGCCTGTCGTCGTACTCAACCAGTGAGGGGATCAGATCGCTTGTGCCAGCCCTAGCGACAGTCTTTCTCTAGGGGGCATTATTCGTGACCTGTTATATCCTAATCTTATCGCAAGTCGAGCCCTATAGCGGTGCGATCTAGACCTCTCTATCTAGTCCTAGACCTATACTAACCCGCGCCTTCCGAGGAGCCGCAGACACGTCTCCCCCAGCGCTACCATAGGGACGACACGGATAAAGGCTAGGTGAACCTGTATCACATCATTCATTTTGTCGTGCCTTATGCTACCTGTGGACAGGAGATCCCAACAGGACCACGTGTATCAAAAGGGTAGCCTGGAACCACATCATGAGGAAACCACGGGAAGGGGGCCTTGGGTTAAAGCAGGAGTCCATAGCACTGCAGATGAAATGGATTATAAAGATCCTGATCAGACAATCCCTCCCTTGGACCCAAATGGCTCTAGACAGCATCAAAAACCTGGCGCCCATAAACTTCCCCCCCAACATGAGAGGTCTCTACTGGCTCATGGCGAAGGACTGGGTTATCAAATCAGGTAGACCTCGCAGGAGAAACCCTACCAAGCTCATCACAACCCTCACTCAAACAACCATCTCATACTGGAGTCCTACCATCAAAGCCTGGAGTAGAATGATGTCAAGTAAACACGGTTCACCAGGAAACAGAGAAGAGGTTCTGAGACAACCTCTCTTCTGCAACCCTTGGATCACCGACCCTATCGGAGGGACATGGACACTACGCACAAAAGACCGAAGATGGCTATCCTGGGTGGAAAAAGGTGTGTGGCAGGTGAAACACATCTGGCCAGAGGACCAAGGACGATGGGCTATCGAACAGGAGCTACGAAATGTCTTAAAAGGCTGTCACTCCCTTGCTGAAAACTTAACGTTGATCCAAAAGAGTATCCCAGTGCGATGGCTCTCCCTCCTAAGGGAGGACTTCTCGTGGAAATTTGGGGATTGGGGCATACTCATCTCCCAAACCCAGCCCACTAGAGCATATAGATTCGTCTCTCAAGCCAACCCACTCTGCTACCTATCTAAATTCTACTCGTACCCCATAGCTAATCACAACCTACAAAAGCTGGAAATCCAGAACAAAGATCCCCAGTGTGACACACTAGAAACCTTCCAACTGAGAAAAGTGAGGGTTTCAAAGTCTAAGCCCTGCAAAATCTTCCAACCGGACCTCAGCATTTCAGACCTTGAAGTCAACTCGAAAGAGTGGGTTTGGAAGCAGGGAAAATCCGGGAGAACGATAATGATATTTGATTACGATGTCAAATTCGGCTATGAGCTGGGTCTGCAAACCACAGACCCGGACCCCAGACTCAAAGGAAAGTGGAGGGAGATCCTGAATCTGGATCCCACGGATTCCATTTCCATCCCATGGACGAAGTACCTGACTATTAGACCGGTTAGGATTCGAAGCATGCAGTGGCTCTTAGCGCACGCATTGTTGCTGGTCAATCAATGGCTCCACAAGAGGAGGAAACATACGGACCCTGACAGGTCTGAGCTTTGCAGGCTATGCACAGATAGCATCCCGGAAGATATACCCCACTGCCTACTGTACTGCACCGAAGCAGCATGGATATGGAACAAGGTGCACGACCTATGGTCCCTCCTCTTCTCATCACCCCCTCCGCCCACAACCCCCCTGAACATCTTGCTCCTTTCCAATGATTTGGAAGAAATGGCACAGCACACCTCCAACAAGGACGGTGCACCAGTGATGGGCAAACTGAGATTTTCATCTCAACAGTATAGAGAACTCTCCTTTTTTCTTGCTTTACACGAATCAGCTGACAGAGTCACAATAGACTTTGAGAGGAAAAGTGGCATGGCAAGCTGACAGTCAATCCTCCAGATAGTTAGCAATCAATGCTGGTCAGGGTTCTTTCGGCCAGACGGAAGTTCACCATGTATCTCAATTTTCGACTTGCCCGTGGAAAGGAACCGGACTGACGCTCCCCAGAATGGATAAGGAGCCAGGACCATAAGGACCTGTTTAAAAAAAAAAAAGTTGGCATCCTCAGAAGAATCTTAATGCCCGGCACATCCTGAGATTGTTGAGTTTCATGGGCCGATAACGCCATGTCCACCCTTGAATTAAAGGTACATCCGCAAGGTACTTTCAAGTTCAATGGCGTAGATGGCCCGGTCAGCCGTTTAGTGCACTTTCCGCCGCTGAACTCCTTTTTTTCTTTTTTCTTTTCGTGGCTCAGAGCACTCGCGAGGGTGATATGAGCACCCCTCACAAGTGCATCGACCTTCAACTCTAGGGCACCTGGTGGGGTGATTCTTCAAGCATGCGGTGAATGGCCAATAGCTCAGTGGGTAGAGCACCGGTTGGAAATGCGCATTGTGGTCTGCGGTTGTGGATTCAATACCCCGCAGCCTCACACATGGACACCGGCGAACATTGACCAGTGTACAGCCATTTGCACACTCCCTTTGGGTTGATGCATGGTAAGAACTGCAGGCCCTGCCTGCGCACCACCCAAGGGGTTACGTCCGTAATGTTGTACGCCTAGAACAGACTGGTGGGAAGGATGCTTGGGGGCTCTCGGCACTTGGCTTTTTCTGATAATTACCGTTGGGTTTGGGTATGCTCATGGGAATCGTAGGGGTGCTTGGAAGGTTGCAAGAAATATTTCCTGATTGAGCAGAGGTACCAAGTAGCCATCGTACGGAAAATACACACTCAACACACTTGCCTGTACCTAAAAACAATAAAGGGGGGTGTCGCTGCCTATGTCAATGAGGGGTGTGGGGGGTTCGGTGGGGCCTTTCGCTCGAGCAATAGGGGTCTAGACTGTGCTCTGATTGGGTCTGGGTACCATTGGGGTTTCTTGCTGGAATGGATATAGTTGAGCCAGCCAAGTGGTAAGAGGGGTGTAGTCACACCTAGTCCCCTGACTCCCTCACACCCACCGGAGGTAGATGATACTCCTCGCCTGCCTACAAAAAGTGTAGGATTATTAGAGCTCGAAATACTGCAATTGGCCAAAAACCACTTACGATACCGTAGGACTGTGCTATGGGGGGGGGGGGTCCAGATCTTACGATATCCTGGGCGTGGGCCTCATGCGAGGGAGGGCTTGAATAGTTAATCAAGTCTAGGTAACGACTGTAGGGACTCTAAGAAAAGGCCCAAGGGGCCAGTACAACGAAGGGTGGACCATGGTGATTGCTAGTCAGTCACTGTTGGTTAAGCCTTAAGAGTAAGATGGCTGGGGTCTGTGCTCCCCCAAAGGTGCCAGACACAGGGCTTAGATGAGACAACCTGGTCAGGTGCCTATACACTGGGTCCTAGGCAAACTCCTAAGGTCACTTCAATACTCCGGCCGTTTTTATAAGAAAAGAAAAAAAAGATTCTTCATGAATGCAACCTTGGGTCCTTGGGCGATGGTTTCAGGAGAGTTGATAAGAAACTTGAGAAAAAACAGCCCGTGGATGTCTGCAATGAAAAAAAGAGTTGGCCACAACTAAGGGGCTCGTTAGACACTCCTTGGGGCGTCCTCGGGGCCGAAGGAAGTTTCCTTTGGGGTTTTGAAGGAAATTCCCGCCGTCGTTCCACCTATCCTTGGGGTGGTCTCCCAAGGATGATTCCTTTCGGCCCCGACGGTCATTTTCATAATATATAGT